GAGGTAGATACCCTCTTGTGTCTTCACTGCCTGGCAGACCTCGCCCCCCTGAAGAGGAAGTGAGGGCCCCCATCGGGGACCCCTCAGGAGAACCCTTGGGGGCCCCCCTGGGGGCCCCCCCGGCGAAGCCTCTCAGATCAGTGCAGCAGCTTCAGGAGGGCCTGATTGTCTCCGCTGCATGCATTCGTGTTTGGGCTCGCTGCGCTCTGCTGCAGCTGCAGCTGCCGCCTTCTTCTGAGGTACGGGGCCCTAGGGGGGCCCTGGGGGGCCCCCCAGGGGGGCCCCCAGGGACCGATGGGGGGCCTCGGGGGGCCCCCATGGGGTTTCTTCACGTGTCGGGCCTCAGAAGGAAGGGGATGGCCCTTCCTCCAGCTGAGCTGAGAGGCATTGATCTCACAACAGTGAGTTTGTGCCTCGCCGCTGCTGCTGCTGCTGCTGCTGTTGTTGTTATTGCTGTTGCTGCTGTTGCTGCTGTTGCTGTTGCTGCTGCTGTTGTTCGTTGCTGCCTTTGAAAAGCCCTTAGGGGGGGACATTGAGAGCTTCCCTCTACGTTGGCTAGTCTGTGCCCTACGACTCTCCAGCTGTGTTGCTGTTGCTGCTGCTGTTGCTGCTGCTGCTGCTGCTGCTGCTGCTGCTGCTGCTTCTCAGATGTTGACTGTGGGGGCCTCCTGCACGGTGGAGCTTCTAAAGGCACCATCAGCAGCAACTTTGAACAGGTGGCAGTTAGCGCTGCATTTGGCTGAGACCGAGCAGGGGGCCCCTAGGGGGGCCCCCCAAGAGGCCCCTAGGGGGCCCCGACTAGGGGCCCCTAGGGGGCTTCCTCTAGAGGTTTATAAGGGAAAGCGTGAGGAGTCAGGTGAAGAAGCGTTTGGGGGGGCCCCCGGGGGGCCCCCTAAGGGAACATTTGGTGTCGATGCTTTAACTGAAGAGGAGTATCTATTAGAGGAGGGGGCCCCCCTGGAGGGAGACAGTCATCAGGGCCCCTTTGAGGGTACAGGAGAAGAGGGTGGGGTTGTTGTTATTGAGGGTTTAGGGGGTAGTAGGCGTCGACAGCGCCCCACAGTGAGGGGCCCCAAGGGGCCCCGCAGCAGGAGGGGGCCCCCTACCCGCTGTGGAGCTCGTGAAAGAGACAGGGAAGAAGAAGAAGGGCTTCTAAGTGAAGATACACCTGGTGAAGACTTAGCAAGCCTCGATATATTTAGAGACGCCTCTTTACCTCTGCAGCCCCACGACCGCACAAACCACAGCAAACATAAGGGCCCCCCCCAGCTGCTGCAGCAGGACACGCCAACAGCAGCAGCAGCAGCAGCAGCAGTAGCAGCAGCGGAAGCAGAAGGGACAGCAGCATCCGCAGCAGCAGCAGCTGCTGCAGGTGCTCCTTCGTCTCAGGCTGTCTCTTTGAGGGCCCCTAGAGTGTCTCCTGGTGCAGCAGTGAGGGTGAGGGTACTGCCAGCCGTTAAGGGTAAGGGGGCCCCTAAGCGGGGCCCCCCTCCTCCCCCAGAGGTGCTGCAGCCTCGACCCGCAGTAATAACGCTTCTGGGCCATGTGGACCATGGTAAGACAACCTTACTTGCTGCACTGAAGCTAATAAGTCAGCAGCAGGAGACACTGCAGCAGGGGGCCCCTACTCACGCAAGGGACCCTAAGGGGGCCCCCAAACGCTCTAGGGAGGGGGCCCCCCTATCAACCTCTAAGGGGGGGGCCCCCTCAACCTCTGCAGGGGGGGCCCTCTCAAGGTCTAAGGGGGGGGCCCCCTTTATTGTGAAGGAGGCTGGAGGTATAACCCAGCGAATTGGATGCTTTCAGGTAAACCCTAAACCCTAAACCCTCATGCGAGGAGAAAGAGAGAGAAGGGGAGAAGTAGACAGAGAGAGACAGAGAGACAGAGACAACAAAAGGAGACTGCAGGGGCTGAGACGAAGAGACAATATAAAGAGACAGAGACAGACAGACAGAGGCAGGCACAAAGAGACAGAGGGACAGAGACAGAGGGACAGAGACAGAGAGACAGAGAGACAGAGACAGAGACAGAGAGACAGAGACAGAGAGACAGAGACAGAGAAGGGCATCAGAGAGAGATGAAGGATCAAAGTAAATGAGCAAGTGGAGAGGGCGATACAGGAGACAAGGAGACAAAAAATGCCGCCTTAATCCCCTCACTTCTGCTGCTCTTGCTGCTGCTGCTGCTGCTGCTGCTGCTGCGTTTGCTTCAGGTGTTGCTGCCTGCATCGGTTGCAGCTTCAGTCCCCAGTCTAACATTCTTAGATACCCCTGGTCACGGGGCTTTCTCCTCCATGCGTCTGAGAGCAGCACAAGCAGCAGATGTTGTGCTGCTGGTTGTTGCTGCTAATGAAGGAGTGCAGCAAGAAACAAAACACTCTATTCGCGTACGGTTTAGCGTTTAGGGTTTAGGGTTTAGAGTTTAGAGCTTAGAGCTAGAAGGCGACGGCTCAGAGGCTGGGTTTAGGGTTTAGGGTTTAGGGGTATTTAGAGTTTCACTGAATCTATAATTTCTTTTGGGGGTGCAAGTGGCTTCGTGCTTTAGGGTTTAGGGTTTAGGGTTTAGGGTTTAGGGTTTAGGGCTGGTATGTGTTGTGGCTTCAGGCGTGCAAGGAGCTCGGGTTGCCGGTAGTTGTAGTCATAACGAAGACAGATTTAGTGGGGGCCCCTGGGGGGCCCCCGGGGGGGCCCCCTCGGGGGGCCCCCCTGACGGGTAGCGACTTCCTTGGTGGGGTTGAGGGTTCGAAGATTTTATCAGAGTTAGCAGCTGAGGGTTTGCTGACAGAGCCATTAGGGGGCCCCGTGCAAGTGGTAGCGGTGCATGCAAAGGGTTACCTCGAAGCGCTTAGGGGCCCCCAGGGGCCCCCTGACGCCCCTCTAGGGGCCCCTGGGGGGGCCCCTGGAAGGTCCGTTGAGGGGTCCCCTGGCGGGGCCCCTGGAGAGGCCCCTGGGGGGGCCCCTGAGGGGGCCCCTGGGGGGCCCCCTGAGGAGGTATACGGCATGCAGCAGCTTTTGGAGTGTATAGCGCTGCAGGCGGAGGAAATGGGTCTAGAGGCATCATCGGATACACCCGGAAAGGGTGTTGTCTTAGAGACATCTTGTAGCAAGACAGCCGGGGGCAGTGCTGTTGTCCTTATCAAAGAAGGCACTATCAAGTAAGTATTTGGGGGGCCCCCTATCATCCATACCCCCCCCGCTTGGGGGGCCCCTATAGGGAGGCCCCCCAAGCAAAGGGGCCCCCATGGGGGCCCCTATATTAGCGATTATTACCCTCTTTACAAAACGGTAACTCTAATAAAGGGGCCCCCAGCTGCTGATTCTGATTGCATGCGTTTGGGGCTGCATGCGCTTCAGGGTTGGCGATTGGTTGGTCGGGGGTAATTCAATATGCAGAGTTAGGAGTCTGAGGCAAGCTGAGAGTGTTAGAGGGGGCCCCCAGGGGGGGCCCCAGGGGGGGCCCCGGGGGGCCCCTGAGCCTCCGCTTCTTGCTGCTGCGGTGTCGCAAGCAGCAGAAGTTTTGGGCTTTGATGCAAACAATCTGCCTCCCTTAGGAGAGGAGATAAGGGTTGTAGGGTCTGAGGAAGAGGCAAAGAGGGAACGAGAGGTGAGGAGACACACAAGAGCAGCAGCAGCAGCAGCAGCAGCAGCAATAGCAGCAGCACTAGTAATAGGAGGAGGATCAGCAGCAGCAGCGGAGTTGTGGGCTTCTCTTTTATATGTTGGGTTGTATGAGTAGGCAGGGTTTGTCTCCTTTTGATGCTTTTTAATTTTGTTGGTGTTCATGTCTTAGCTGCTGCTGCTTTCGTTGCTGCTGCTCTGGTCGCTGCTGCTGTGGCTGCTGCTGCTGCAGCAACGGCTGAGGGATTCAAGTGATGCAGACGCAGCAGCAGCTGCTGCTGCTGCTCGGCAGCGGGCGTTGGCGGCGCTAGAGAAGGACGATTCTCTCGAGGTAAGCTGCTGCTGTTGCTGCTGCTGCTGTTGCTGCTGCTGTTGTTGTTGCTGCTGCTGCTGCTGGTGCTGCTGCTGCGGCACCGCTTGAGTTGCTGCTGCTGCTGCTTCGTAAGCCCCTAAGACAGCATCAGCAGTCTGCTGCGCATGCAGCCGTTGAGAGCAACAGAGACAGAGAGACAGAATTAGGCGGGGAAGGAGACAGCGGAGAAGCGGCAGCAGCAGCCGCTGCTGCACATGTTGGCTTCCGTGCTGCTGCTGCTGCTGTTGCTGCTGCTACAGGAGACAATTTTACCCGTCACGGTGCGCGCTGGTTCCCAAGGTCCTGCTGCTGCACTTGCTGCTGCTCTAGAGGGTCTATCAGCATACCGTACGACTACTGGGGGCCCCTGGAAGCTGTACCCTTCGGAGCTTCTATCTTCTGAGGGGCCCCCAAGGGCTTCCCCCCTAGGGGCCCCCCATTCAGGGGCCCCCCCATCAGGGGGCCCCCATTCAGGGGGGCCCCCTCAACGGGAGCATTTAGGAGGAGACAGTGGGTCGGGGCTTGGAGAGGAGACAGGCGAAGTAGAAGGAGACACCTCAATGAAGCAGCAGCAGAGGGAGCTACGACGGGTGATGGTTGTTAAGGCAGCAGCAGGAGAGTGCAGCACACAAGATGTGCTAAGCAGCTTAAATAAAGACAAAGAAGGAGGGGTTTTAGTGGCATTTGCAACAAAAATAACTAAAGATATCAAGGTAAGGGGATTAGGGTTTAGGGTTTAGGGTTTAGGGTTTAGGTAGGTGCAGTGTACATACACCTGTAAGTGCCGGGCTTGTTGGGGGTTTTGTTTTTTGTTATTTCTCTGCGCTGTGTGTTTGTTGATTGGAGGGTGTTATTATGCTTAGCGTTTAGGGTTTAGGGTCTAGGGTTTAGGGTTTAGGGTTTAGGGTTCCTTTTCTTTTTTTTAGTGTACACTCTTGTTATTTTTTTAATGGCAATAATTCCCCCCATACACCCTGGGGTGTATGTGTGTCTTTCTGCTGCAGCGAGCAGCAGAGACAGCTGGCGTGCAGCTCGTTTGCTGCGACGTTATCTACGACGCCCTGCATGCAGTGCAGCAGCGGCTGCTGTCTCCGCAGCTATTTGAAGCCCCAGGGGCCCCATCAGGGGGCCCCCCAGGGGCCCCCAGCACTCAGGGGGGGCCCTGTGGGGCCCAGGCGACTGTTAAACAGTTGTTTCCGCTCTCGAATGTAGGCCCTGTGCATAAGCCCTAAACCCTAAAGCACCAAACCCTAAACCCTAAACCCTTTTTTCGGGGGTGGTTAGGCAGCTGAGTGTGAGGTGTGTATGCTTCCAGGTGTACGTCTAGCGAGCGTTTGTGTTATTAAAGATATCGATGTATATGCAATTAGAACCCCCAGGTGTCTTTGGGGCTTTGCATGCATGCAGGGATCAGTAGTCGCAGGCTGCGATGTGGTGTGCGGGAAGCTGAGGAGAGAAGATATTTTGAAGATTGAGCGCAATGGCCGCTGCATCAAGGACGTGAGCGGGGGCCTAGGGTTTAGGGTTTAGGGTTTAGGGTTTGGGTCAGGGTTTCGTTTGGGTGGAGGCTTGCAAGTTCTAGCTGCTGCTGCAACACCTGCAACAGCAGCAGCACCAGCACCAGCAACAGCAGCACTGGCCGCTGCGGAAGCAGTAGCACCAGCTGCAACAGTAGCATCAGCTGCAACAGCAGCATCAGTTGCAACAGCAGCATCAGCTGCAACAGCAGCAGCAACAGGAGCAGCAGCATTGATTGTTGGTGCATGCGCATATGGATGTGTGCAGGGTGTTCGTATTGTCTCTTTGCGGGTGGGGAAGGATCCCAGAGAGAGTGTCTCCTCTCCAGGAGAGTGTGGGGTGTTATGTGAAGCATTTAAAGACTGGGGTGTCGGAGACACCCTAATTGTAACTGGGAGCAAAACTAACGAAAAAGAATTAAAAAGAAATAAAAAGAATTAAAAAGAGTTGAAAGGATTTAACTAAAACAGCTTAAATCTACGCTCATCATAACCCATAAAGCAACAAAGTAGGGGCCCCCAACCAAGCATAGGGGCCCCCAATATAATACACGCAAAGAGGCATTGATGTCTTCAAGAAGATAGAAAGAAATCTCTCTTCATCTCTTTTTTTATTTTATGCAAGGCATTATTTTAATCTTTATATTCGTTTATAGATATGCACACATTATTTGTTTTGTTCTTTCTTTATAAATCTTTTTTGTTGTCAAACAAATTAACAATTTATATCTAGAGGCTATGCTGCCGGTTACTCCACGCAAGAAAGCCCCAAATGGAGTGTACATACACCTTGAGGTGTAGGTACTACAACTATTTCATATATAATCTTGTAATATCTATAAATGCATGTATATATATATATATGTATATATATATTTGAGGACAGAGAGAGAGAGAGAGATAATATCCATATCGCACCCAATGAGGGGCCTCTGCTAGGAGTGGGGGCTTCTGCTTGGTGTTGTACATTATTATACACTGCAGAGTAAATACAGTAGAACAAATAAATGTATAGTAAATTTGCATATATATATGGTACCGTTCTACAAGTGAATGAACACCAAATTTATTTGTAATACCATTAAACAAGCATTTAGACAATATATTTATTTGTTTTGTTTTCTGTATGCAGCTAATGTGAGCTAATGGTTTGCTGTGTTGGTGAATTCATCTCTAGCGTCTATGGCCCTTACAAATATCTGGAAGGAGGAATTGAATAAATAATTATAAATAGATAAATATATAATTTATAATACGTTAGAAAATGAACGTAGAGTTAATGCATGCATGCATGCAGTCTGTTGCACAAGGAAGGGGCTGTCGAGTGTCGGCTGCACGACGAAGCAAAGAATGAATGCGCACTAAGTAGGAATGACTGCATTAAAAAGTTTAAATCTTTGAAATAAATGAAAAGAAATAAAAAGATATACGCAATTTCTTCGCCTTTCTGTGCTGTTAAGCAGGGCAGAACGACAGTATTCAATTCAACTGGGCGTCGTTTGCAGTTGGCGAAGGGTTTTGAGGTGTGGAGATGATTATTTTTTAGAGTTTTTATTTTATTTCGTTTCAATTTTTATTTAGTTTTTGATTTAAAAATGAAAAAAGGGTTTCTACACTCAGATGATCCAAAGTGCTCCAAGATTCGTCAGCCGCAGCGGCCGACGCCAAAGACAGCAGAAGGGAAGGTAAGCTGCGGTAAATATCATTTAATTGAATATATTTTGTTGTATTTCTTCATGAAAACCCTTTTAAAAACCAATATTTTCATTTAATTTATCATATTCCCTCTGTACCCCTCCGCAATCAACGCCCAGTAGGCAGCGCTTTCTATTTCATGGTTACCACCACTGCGGTGTATCGACACGTCATATTCAACAAATTCAAGAAATTTCAGCTTCATTTCATATTCACTTTCATCATCGCTCTGTTCAATAATGTATCAACCTACTCCTTTCATTGTCCACCTCAGCAGCTTATTGCTTCATTCAAAAGCTGCTGCTTTTTGCATTCATAACAACCAAATTACCCGCAAAGATTTCTTTTTTTGCTGCACTTTTTGTTTTCAAATGACCCACTTTGGCGTATCTTTTTTGGGTTTGCGTTCGTTCTCACTCTGTTCTCCTTTGTCTTTTCTTGAAGGCTGCACAAATATATATATATATATATATATATATATATATATTGCATGCATTTGTGCATGCATTTGTGCA